TTTATCGTCCGGTCGTGGTTGAGGCTGCCACTCAGTAAGGACTGGCTTAGTCGCGCGCGCATTTGCTCCCAGTACCGGCTAAATTTTCGCTATTCATTGTGTTGTGCTTATTCCTTTAAAAATAATAATAAATAATAATAATTATTATAATTATAATTCATAAGGATATGGGGAGGTCAGCATACAGGAGGTCAGCTACTAACAAAACAGTAAAGAAGCGAAAACCGTCGATAGCTAAAAGTCGATTAATAGGCTATCGGTCGATAAGCATTGGCAATCGAAAAGCCGATTAATAGGCTAGCGATCGATAAACATTGGCAATCGAAAAGCCGATAAATAGGCTAGCGGTCGATAAAGTGTTAAGTCTGAGAATCGTGCGTCGATTTTCTCACGTTTGGTTAATCGATGTTTTAGACTGAACAGCAGAGAGCTTTCTATTTTATTTAACGCCGAATGGATTCGATTTAACAAACTTCTCTTTTATTCGACTAGCTCTGTACAGAGATGCTCGGCGTTCCCTCGCCCGTTTTTGGGAACGTGGACACGCGCGATCACACTCTTAATTCAATTTAATTGTGCGATTTTTGATTCGGGGTACGGATATCGCCTTTTTTTAAATCTGAGAATCGTGCGTCGATTTTCTCACGTTTGGTTAATCGATGTTTTAGACTGAACAGCAGACAGTTTTCCATTTTATTTAACGCCGAATGGATTCGATTTAACGAACGTCTCTTTTATTGAGCTGTTTCTGGACAGAGATGCTCGGCGAACACTTGTACGTTGTTGAAATGTGAACACGTTACGTCAAACTCCTAATTTCATTAAATTACACGACTTTTTTATCTGGGAATGGAAATACCCAGAAATTCAGAAATTCAGAAATTTGGACAAACGAAGTTCTAAATTTAATTCTTGGAAGATTTCTACTTCGTTTGACGCCGAATGAATTTGATTTAACAAATTCAGCTCCGTTTATTCAGCTGACTTTTTCGCAGAGAGGTTCGGCGATCTAAATTTAATTCAATTGAGTCACGCGATTTTTTGATCCGGCAATCGAGTATCGATTTTTATTCGGAATGCTGTGCACTTGGCAAGGCAACAAAAATGTTTGAAAAAGGCCTACTAATATTATGACAACTGTAGAAGATATTTTAGAATATTTGGTACATATTATTATTAAAATCATTATATTATATTATATTTAAAATCTTGAAATACTATAAAATTGTATCATCGACTACAAATTTTGGATTCACTCTTCTGAATATTTGGTACACATTATTAAAATCATTATATCTAAAATCTTGAAACACTATAAAATTGTATCATCGACTACAAATTTTGGATTCACTCTTCTGAATAACACGAAGTACAGCAGATTCATTCAAACAAATTAACAATTCACTAAAACGCGGATGTTATTAAAAATCATAATAAAAACATCTTAAAACTGTTCCAAAGTGATTCTTCAACGAGAAAATTGCAAACTGCCATCCTTTCAAACGATGTTCCTATTACTTTTGTGTCCGACGAATAAATCGCGATACGAGCGAATGCATTTAATTTCATACACGCGGAACGGAATATATCATATACATGTAATAAAAATATTCCAGGTCGGAAGAAATGCCTGCGCGTTCTAGATGATTAAATAGCCTCGATAGTGGAGCGAGTTAATAATTCACTCTCTCGACTAGAAACTATCTGAAACTACAATGAACGTTCCACAAGATCATCACTTCATTTCCAAACATTCGTCTTCATTGCCGAGGAAAATAAATTCGCCCGTGGTTTCACGGAACAGACAAGAATCTATATTTGCGCAAACATTTCCAGCGATCCCGTTCCGAGCGGTCTCTGTCAGCTATCTCCATTAATCTACTCCGTTGTAAATTGAATAATGACTGTAAAAAGACGACCGCGACGGCGGCGGCGGCAACGCATTAAAATTGAAAATCAAGTTAGCCAGCCTCCGCAAAGGCGCAGAGGCGTTGCGGGTTCTATGGTCTAACAGTCTACGGTGTCTACGGGAAAACAGACCGTGTTCAAGATTAATTCTGCTCGGCGCGCGGTTCTAAATCGCTCGAGTGTGAAAACAGTCTCGCGGCAGCTGTCGGGATTCCAGGAGCGCGCGTGCCGTCCGCCGGCTCTCTAATTAAACACGAACTCTCGAAATGCAAATGTCGCACTCGGGACACGTGACGTATCGCCGATACGTTCGCGGAGTCCTCCTATTTATCCTCGTCCGAGAAGCGCTTAATAGCGTTGCTCGACGAGAAGCTATCGACACTCGTCGACACATAATGCCACGGTTGCCATTTTCGAGAACGCGGCAATGGAAACACGACTTCGACCATTTGTAATCAATTCTGCGTGGACAGATTCGTCCCTGAGAATTGCTGTTGTGTTTTTTACTATGACGAGAGCAACCTCTGCTTAGAGGTGAACAATATTCGTTTAACACGTTCCGTGCCGAGCTTTTTTCACTCGAATCTTCACACTTTGATATTTTACTAAAACTTGATGTATTACGTGCAATTATTAATTCTCGTACACATAACAACGTAACAAAAACTTATCAACGCCCATTCTTGCGGTGGAAATTGATTCTTCGGTTCTAAATTTCTTGTAAACAATTTGTTCAGTTCACTAAGTAAACATGCAAGCGTGTACCATCGATGGTACACGTGGCACGGAACGTGTTAAACTCTCAAGATTTTTTCAATTATCTGTTTTTAAATTATGAATATATTGAGATCTTTAATTATCGTCATTTTAAGCAACAACTTTTTGGATTTACGAATGAAAATAACGAGATGCTCGTGCTAATGATTGTTGGCGAACTTGTTTGTATGGACGCTTTCGAAGAATATTAATAGAATATAATAATTTATTTTTTTGTTTATTAATGGAATATAGTCGCTAGGTTGCGGATCATTGTGCATTTATGGCATCTGCAGTTTTGTAAAATGCGGACTTAATGCAAGATACTTAACACAAGAAATTTCTGCTTAATTCTGATTTTGCATAAAGATTATATCAATTTGCGTTAGGATCCGCAATTTAATAATCACAGTTTTGAAAGCGATAACTAGAATGCGGATTTCATGCATTTATTACGAAAACAAGTAGATCAAATAGAAAACCGGGAAAAGTTTAAAGAACTTGAAAATACTATTGTATTTCTTTCAATTCGTTAAAATTGTTAAAAGAAGAACTACATAGAAAAGATAACTGGACTACGGATTTCATGCATTTATTACGAAAACAAGTAGATCAAATAAAAAGCAGGAAACAAATTTAAAGAACTTAAAAATACTATTGCGTTTCTTTCGACTCGTTAAAATTGTTAAAAGAAGAACTACATAGAAAAGATAACTAGACTGCGGATTTCATGCATTTATTACGAAAACAAGTAGATAAAATAAAAAGGAGGAAACAAATTTAAAGAATTTAAAAATACTATTGTATTTCTTTCAACTCGTTAAAATTGTTAAAAGAAGAACTACATAGAAAAGATAACTAGACTGCGGATTTCATGCATTTATTACGAAAACAAGTAGATCAAATAAAAGGCAGGAGACAAATTTGAAAAACTTAAAAATACTATTGCGTTCCTTTCGACTCGTTAAAATTGTTAAAAGTCGAACTCCTAATTGAATTTATTTATAATGCGTATCGCGCGCGAAGTATAATATATTCTCACGTGGGTTTTTCCGAAGAAACGATGTAATGAATTTCTAGAAGACGATGGCAACGCAACTCTAAAGCGGTCGACTTTTGAGCAAATGAATTTAATCCGCCCACGTTCATGAAATCGACCACTGTGCACCGTTTCCGGCGGGCAATCAGACACAATGCGTTCCAGGAACATTTCATAGGTCCAGTCGGCGTCAAAGTTTTTCCAAGGAGGCGCCTAGATGGCCGCCGCCGCGACGAGAAGTAGCCACTTTACCGTGTCTAACCACCCACGCCTCGCTTCCGACAGAATTTCAAGTTCATTGAGGGCTTCGATAAATCATTCCGCCGTATGAAGTTGTTCCGGACGAGTCGTGGGCGACGCGCATGTCCTTTGAATATCGCGAATCGAACAACGAAACCTCGTCATATAAATAATGATTGAATGGAAATTTCAACTAATTGTCTCGAGAAGCAGTCTCAGCTACGTTAAAACCTAATACAAATCGAACATGTAACTGATCGAGATTGAAGTTGCAAAAAATTGAGATAACGCTGTGATATTAGTATAGTGGTGTGAATAATTGTAGACTTGAGAAAACTTTTACATTGATGTTTAAACAAAATCTAAATAAAACATCATATTTATACATTTATGTATATTAGAAATAATAAAAAATATTATATTATATTATAATAATATATTATATAATAATAATTAATTAATAAATAATTATAATATAATTATAATACATTATTATAATTAATTAATAATTTAATAATATTATATTATATTATATTATATTATATTATATTTCTATTTGATATTTCTATTCTATTGTATTCTATTTCGATTTATATTCTGAATATAAATATAGAATATAAGAATAGGATAAATGTAATATATAAATGTAGTTTTCTTGTTTTCGTTTAGATATCAATAAAAATGTAAAAGTTACTTCGAGTCCATAATAACGCACACCACTGAATACCGATTCATACGATTCTACTGATTTATAGGAGTAATTTTTAGGTCGTAAAATTAATGGTTCTGTCACGAAAGGACTCCTTCGTTGTATGCATCCCACGCTTTCACGTCTCATAAACAGTTTTTCAAATGCACTAGAACTTCGACTATCCCAAACACGTTTTAAGCTCGATCTAAAGCGACCTGTGCGCAACGCTATTCACTGTAAAAGTCTGTAATAATTTAATTTAGATCCGTATCTGAATCGATGCTCCATTATCTATACTGTTCCAATTAAATAGTTCTCGGATAATCGATGTTCTACCGTAAAAATGTACCATGCAAAATCACTCACCGAATCCCATCCGCACCTCCTCCTCGTCATCGCTGTCAATGTGCTTGATGCCAGCCACCTCGAAGCTCCTCGCAGACTGCTCCTTCCTCTTGGCAGAAGTGGAACAATCGCAAGTGTCTTCGCCAGTGCCGCAGCTGCAGTCATCCCCCGCGCACCTGCATCCAAGCAGGGGATCGTCTGTGTCGATATTCCTGCAGGCTGGGCAAGGGAACGTGAGGTCGTCCAGGGAAACCCTTTCGATCTTCCTCTCGACAGAGATCAGAAGGTTCCCGATGAAAGCCGGCAGGTCGTCGTCGCTGATGTCGTCGACATTCCCAGTCTGCAGTCTGTCATCCTGGTCAGCGTCGTTGCTCCCGGCTTTCTTCCTCTCGAGGACAGCTTTATCGAGACGCAGAGGTGTCTTCAGGTCCTCGGGGACCAAGGGTTTGCTCCTGGTCTCGCACCTGGCCGTCTCCTTCCACTTCTCCATGGTCGACGACGAGACCACCTTGGCGCACCTCTTCACTCTGGCGCGGTTCTCGTCGCCGGATAGACTAGAACAATTGTTCGAGCTGACTCTGGAGGTCGTCGTCGTCGTCGTCGTCGTCGTTGTTGCTTCAGAGTCACCGTCGAGCTCCGGTTTCCAAGTATTAACGCTCGACGTCGACCTCGACTTCATCACCGCGTGGCCCGTCTCGGCTTCAGCCTCGGGATTCTCATTCGAGCTCTTGCACTCCAACCTGTCGATCGACCGGGTCTCCTCCCGGCGATGATCCGCCGGCAGACCCTCCCGGGTCCGAGCACGGGGCTCTTCCTTTGATCTTCGACGAGGACGCGTCACCTTCGCGGTACTGGAGCTTTGCGGACCTGAGATACTTGCGCCTCCGCCTGCCGAACTGCCGCCTTGACCTTTGCGAGACACCTCCCGCCAGTCCATGAACTCCTCCTCGCGGTCCCAACCGAGGAACCCTGGGGCCCTCATCGACGTCGTTCTCCAAACTATTGCGATCTGTGGACAGATTCGAGTTAAGTCTGCGAGTTGTTCTCTCAGTCAAGTGTCAGTGACGTGGAAGTCAAAATGTTTCGATGACGATGTATTAGGTTGTGTGATAAGTCCGTTCGCGTTTTCCTGTGAGAAAACACAGGCTGTTCCATAATTATGTTAACAGTCGGAAATGGGAGATACCTGAGGTCGATACCCTGGGTATCTGGGTATCTGGGTATATGGAGATACCCTGAGTTATTTGAAGTAACTTTTTCCTTAGCGAAAATGCAATCCGCGGCTTCGTTTACGAGTTATTAACGAAAAACAGTGACCAATGAGAGGCGAGCTAGCCTAGCGCTCGGCGGCCGAGCCAATCGGCGGAACTGCGCTTCGACCGCTCGACCGCTGGCGCCGTCGGCTCGGCCGCCTCGCGTCAGCTGAACTAGGGTTCGACCGCTTGACCGCTGGCGCCGTTGACTCGGCCGCCTCGATCGCTGGCGCCAGCTTAGCAGGCATTCGACCGCTCGACCGCTGGCGCCGTTGGCTCGGTCGCCTCGCGCGAACCGAGCTCGCCTCTCATTGGTCACTGTTTTTCGCTAATAACTCGTAAGCAAAGCCGTAGATTGCATTTTCGCTAAGGAGAAAGTTACTCCAAATAACCTCAAAAATCACTTCTTTCTAAATGTTAACATAATTATGAAACATCCTGTATAGTGCGATTGTCGACCCGGACAAACTTATTATACAATTTTATCCTAATCTACCCTATCTTAAAGTACACACTTCCAGCTTTCATTTAAGCTAACACGCGTAGAGATAGCTCCGCGAGGATACATTTCAAAATTCATCTGAACTATCGTTTCGAATTCGTGTAATTTTCCTTGTCTTTTCCTAGGTGTCAGAGATCCGCGAACGGACTTGTTACACGGCCTAATATTTACGACGATATGTTAATTACCAACGTGGTGTTCACAGCGTAATGTTTACACTTTTGAGATTCGTGTACCAAAAGGCACCCCCGCCTTTCCCCGCTCCTTGACATAACCCTCGAGGGCAACGCACCTATAAACTTGCTGTGCCAACTGATAGTTGAATGACCCAAAGGATGTTTAGGCTCGAATATTCTCATTTACAACCGTGCCATAAAACTCGGACTAAAACCCTGTCATAAAATCCACCAAGAGCTGGATAATACCCGGCCATCATTTATCCTCGCAGGATGACTGGCAACCCTCTCTAAATATTATTCAAAAACCCGTCTATATTAGATTGTGTATATAGAAGTCGTATTTTATACGAGCTGTTTTCGGTCGATAAAAATGCAGACTGATCTAGATGCGTACCGTGGGAGTGGATAATTATTGCCGATGTATTTGACGTATGTTCATTGTGAAAGCAAAAGCGTGATAACGATCTTATTGTTAGCAATAAATAGATTGCACCGGAGCAGGAATTTCTACGTTTCTAGCCAGTAATCGTATTGTTCTTGATGAATCTCGAAAGTCAAGCAATTTATTTATTAGGTTGCGTCGTTGCTTCCTGGTAATATTCGTTCACGAAACACTGATTAAATCGTAGCTGTTAATTGGTAGGTACTATTATTCTCTCTGGGAACATTGGATCGCTCTTACGCTTCTGTGCAATACTGAAGTTTTTCTGAACCAGATGCACAGCAATGGCGACGCTGGCGAGATTCAAAATGGGGCGAGTCACGAGGTTAAGGAGGAATGATAGCCGCGATAGCCAGAAGTCAGGAGACAAGAGACAGCGGATCGAAACGAATAAAAGAAAAATGACAAAGGAGCGTGACTCACCTCGACGGTATTCCGCTCGACGGTTTCACCAGCCGCCGCTTCGCCGCTCCCCGAGGTGGTTGCAACTGCAGCTGCGCTGCGTATGCAGAGGTAACATTCCCCGAGACGTAGTGCGGAGGCTTCTAGCTCTCCTAGTTGCAGGATGAGGCCACGTCTGCCCAACGTCAGAGGCCAGCCTTCTGGTACTACGGACTCGTTCCCCTGCAACGAAAAATTGCAAACATCATTAATCAATCTCTCCAGTAACAGGTAAAGCATCAATCGCATTTACCACTTAGCGTATTATTTTCTTTGCCGGCATACTAATTAGCTTTTCTTTGCCTTCAATAATTTTCACAAAGAAAGTTCATGTTTCGTTTATGTCTAGATTGATTTTAATGCTTTCATACCGATATGACTAGGCTGTGGATTTATATGCAAATTAAAATATTGTCTAATTCTGATAAAAATGTCTTTCCTCTTGTAGTCGTTTTAATAGGTCCTGGAGTTAGATGTTTTTTAATTCTTAGATTAAAAAATTTTAGTTAGATGTTTTTTAATTCTTAGATTAAAAAATCCTAGTTAGATGTTTTTTAATTCTTAGATTACAAAATCCTAGTTAGATGTTTTTTAATTCTTAGATTAAAAAATCCTAGTTAGATGTTTTTTAATTCTTAGATTAAAAAATCCTAGTTAGATGTTTTTTAATTCTTAGATTAAAAAATCCTAGTTAGATGTTTTTTAATTCTTAGATTAAAAAATCCTAGTTAGATGTTTTTTAATTCTTAGATTAAAAAATCCTAGTTAGATGTTTTTTAATTCTTAGATTAAAAAATCCTAGTTAGATGTTTTTTAATTCTTAGATTAAAAAATCCTAGTTAGATGTTTTTTAATTCTTAGATTAAAAAATCCTAGTTAGATGTTTTTTAATTCTTAGATTAAAAAATCCTAGTTAGATGTTTTTTAATTCTTAGATTAAAAAATCCTAGTTAGATGTTTTTTAATTCTTAGATTAAAAAATCCTAGTTAGATGTTTTTTAATTCTTAGATTAAAAAATCCTAGTTAGATATTTTTTAATTCTTCTAATGTCTTCACGGTTTTATATTTAACGTGTCATTCTTATCACAAACGTATAAAATCGGTAATCTGTTGATAACAGAAAAATAATTTATTTCGGTTTAGAAGATTTGAATCGTGTTCATATCTAATGGATCCTGTTTGATATCTTCGATACAAGTCTGGTTATTATACGTGAAAGGGTTACGACTTAACTGATTCTTACGAATCACCTTCTATGGCTCTCTTATGTGAGTTTATGCGAATGCATATATCCTCTCGACGTTTTCATAGTAATTTCCTTATATTCTCCAGCGCCATTTTCAAGTTTCCAAACGCAGTATTTCTAACAGCCACGCGATGGCATAGCGAGAACAAAAAATAAACAGCTTCTTGTAGACTTGTATTCCATTTTAACAAACCTATTGAAACTATGAAAGTCCTCATGAGAAAAGCAAGATGTAGGATCTCGGGAATAAGTGCGTGTTACAAGCTCGCGCTCTTTACATTTAACCGTTAATTAAATAAGCATCTTAATTGACCAGAGAAACGGTAAGCGCATGTATAGCTTCCGGACGTCGTATTGGGACTAAATGAACACTAGGCGAGTGCTCCATCTATGTAATACTACTATGCTTAAATATAGTGCGAGCAGTTTGAAGCTGGACTAAAGGTATCAATGCAGACAACCACAGAATGAATGTCCATTGCTAATTACAATTCACTTTTACTTTCCACCCGGTTCTTCTTTCCTTACGTTTCTCCCAGAAAATTCAAGTATCTGCATTAACCAAATTAATGTATACAGTTTAGAGATAGTTTAGAGATCATAGAGATTACTTAGGAATATTTCGCAGGGTGTTTACTATCCTGGTTGCTATTTAAAAAAAATGTTTATTAAAATGAATATGGAAAATCCTGCTTAATAAAACGCTTTATGATATTCGAAACTAGATCAAGACCCAGTGAAACTTCATTTCATTTCCTACAAACCGTCAAATAACCTGATAAAAAATAACCCAACAATTATGGAGATTACCGAGAGACGCCGTTGAACGATAATTGTGCGGGCAATGTAATCGCGAATAAGAAGCAACCTTTATCGGCACGGTGCACCGGCTGCATACAACTGCATACTCCCCTATACACGCTCGCCAAACAAATCTAAGAAGATTGAGCCAGTAAACACGCAAGAAGGCAATTCGCGCCCCTCCTCCCCGCATCAATTCGATGCCCGTACGGGGCGTTCGAAAGGCCCCCGGACAATCGGGGGACGATTNAGTTAAATATTTTTTAATTCATAGATTAAAAAATCCTAGTTAGATATTTTTTAATTCTTAGATTAAAAAATCCTAGTTAGATATTTTTTAATTCTTCTAATGTCTTCACGGTTTTATATTTAACGTGTCATTCTTATCACAAACGTATAAAATCGGTAATCTGTTGATAACAGAAAAATAATTTATTTCGGTTTAGAAGATTTGAATCGTGTTCATATCTAATGGATCCTGTTTGATATCTTCGATACAAGTCTGGTTATTATACGTGAAAGGGTTACGACTTAACTGATTCTTACGAATCACCTTCTATGGCTCTCTTATGTGAGTTTATGCGAATGCATATATCCTCTCGACGTTTTCATAGTAATTTCCTTATATTCTCCAGCGCCATTTTCAAGTTTCCAAACGCAGTATTTCTAACAGCCACGCGATGGCATAGCGAGAACAAAAAATAAACAGCTTCTTGTAGACTTGTATTCCATTTTAACAAACCTATTGAAACTATGAAAGTCCTCATGAGAAAAGCAAGATGTAGGATCTCGGGAATAAGTGCGTGTTACAAGCTCGCGCTCTTTACATTTAACCGTTAATTAAATAAGCATCTTAATTGACCAGAGAAACGGTAAGCGCATGTATAGCTTCCGGACGTCGTATTGGGACTAAATGAACACTAGGCGAGTGCTCCATCTATGTAATACTACTATGCTTAAATATAGTGCGAGCAGTTTGAAGCTGGACTAAAGGTATCAATGCAGACAACCACAGAATGAATGTCCATTGCTAATTACAATTCACTTTTACTTTCCACCCGGTTCTTCTTTCCTTACGTTTCTCCCAGAAAATTCAAGTATCTGCATTAACCAAATTAATGTATACAGTTTAGAGATAGTTTAGAGATCATAGAGATTACTTAGGAATATTTCGCAGGGTGTTTACTATCCTGGTTGCTATTTAAAAAAAATGTTTATTAAAATGAATATGGAAAATCCTGCTTAATAAAACGCTTTATGATATTCGAAACTAGATCAAGACCCAGTGAAACTTCATTTCATTTCCTACAAACCGTCAAATAACCTGATAAAAAATAACCCAACAATTATGGAGATTACCGAGAGACGCCGTTGAACGATAATTGTGCGGGCAATGTAATCGCGAATAAGAAGCAACCTTTATCGGCACGGTGCACCGGCTGCATACAACTGCATACTCCCCTATACACGCTCGCCAAACAAATCTAAGAAGATTGAGCCAGTAAACACGCAAGAAGGCAATTCGCGCCCCTCCTCCCCGCATCAATTCGATGCCCGTACGGGGCGTTCGAAAGGCCCCCGGACAATCGGGGGACGATTAATTAAAAGCAAGCCGGAAGCCTCGTGGCGGCTAATGAAATTCCTCTAAATAAGTTACACGCGAAAGGGAGAGTAATTGCGAGCCAAGCCCCGCACGTTAATCACGCTGATTAGAGAGTAATCAACGGCGAGAGCCGGGGTACGCCCCAAAATTGAGGAGACGTGCCCCGGCCGAATGATGCGCCCCGGCCACCGGGTTGTCCCACGGTTTCACTCCTCGCGGAGCACGGAATGCGGCCAGAATTTAATCGGCCTCAAAATTGCGTCAGGGCCACCGGTGAATACGGATTAAAAACACCGACCGTGTTTGCATCTAAATCGATGCATTATCCTGCGAGATACCCACGGGAATTGCTCCGTGAATGACGTTTGACGAACCTCTCGCCGAGGGAATTACTAACTGATAATTTCATCACATTTTCGAGAGCTCCCTATGAGAGGTATGGTAAAAAATTGCGAATGTTCCGAACTCATTTGAAATATTCTTTTTAGTAAGCTTCGAAGAGTTCGTACAGCTTGTGTGGCCAGTGTAAAGAGAAAAATATGTTTGCTTTCTAGATGAGAGCCGAAATAAATCTTTAAAAAATCTTGTTGCATTCAAGAGTGTTCCAACTTGTTTAGAAAAAATCACTAGTCTCAAAGTATCAATTTTTGAACGAGGCGACCGAAGTAGCTTTAGTTAGTTAGCTTTCTAGGATGTGGAAAGGATGTATCCACCGCAGTGATCAATAAAAATTAAATTAAAAAATACATTGTTATTCTAGAATAGTAGAAGAATAAACCCCAATAGCGCTGTTGGTTACACATTTTTCCATTCTGTCTGTAAAAAATCTGGAAGATCGCGTACCAATCTCTTTATGACTTGTGTGTGTGTGTGATAAAGTTCAGCTCCGCTGTCCTGCTTTACGCGGTGCATATCAAGTATAAAACTTAATAAAAATTCAATGAAAACTACATCTGTATTCTAGAACAGTAGGAGAACAATTTCGTATCACTTTCCTGATCGCTAGCTGTCATTTTCTTCACAGAAGATCACGAAGATAAAATGCGTACAACAATTCAATAAAACGCAGCTGTACCGTGACGCGTTCCAAGCTGCATACCAACTGAAGAACTCGATGAAAGTACAATAAAAAAATACATCTGTATTTTAGAATACTAGAAGAATAAACCCCAACAGTGCTGTTGGCCATACAGTTTACCATTCTGTCTGGAAAAAATCTGGAAGATCGAGTACCAATCTCTGAACGACTTGTGATAAAGTTCAGCTCCGCTGTTCTGTTTTACGCGGTGCATATCAAGTATAAAACTTAATAAAAATTCAATGAAAACTACATCTGCTGTCTCTTATACACATCTAGATGTGTATAAGAGACAGGTATAAAACTTAATAAAAATTCAATGAAAACTACATCTGCTGTCTCTTATACACATCTAGATGTGTATAAGAGACAGGTATAAAACTTAATAAAAATTCAATGAAAACTACATCTGCTGTCTCTTATACACATCTAGATGTGTATAAGAGACAGCAAT